CTCTGTTGAAACACACTCAACAGGATGATACAAGCCGATTGTGTAAGACCTCTTCTTTGATTTGGTGAAGGACTTCGGTTTGGAAGAGATCTGTTCACCCAAAGTCATTATGAAGTGGAACAGGAGCTGTAGCGAGAGTTCCGGATGGGCGTAAAGGATTTTCACCAACTGTCGTCTACCATGATCTGGGGCGATGGGTAGGAGACCGATCGGACCTGGGCCATGACCGCTCGACAATTTCCCTTCAATGGCGCGGTAGTCATGATACACGGAGAGCTATTGTTGAACAGAGCACGAGAGAGAGAACAGAACGCATAACTCTGGTAAAATCTATCATTGACTAGAGATAAGATACAAGCAATTTTAGTTTTTGATTCTAATTTCTGACCGAACGATAGAGTGCAAGTGTACAAGTGTATAACATACAATCGACGAATAAATGACAAAAGAACGTTCTGGAGGAGGTTGCCCTGTGAAACCTAACTGCTCAAGTAACCAAATACTAACTAACACGAAAACCCGGAATAGCTGACCCGATCACCTGATTTAACACAAGCAACAGTGAAACTAATCATTGATCCTTGTTCATCTACAACAGCATCCAACAGGCGTTTAGTTAGTACTCCTATGCCATGAACAACAGACAGGGTAAACCCCGTAGTCACGAAAACCTATTGTCAAATCATGGTAGCCAATAACCCGAATCTTGAGAGTTGGAGTGGTGACAGTGACTGCGTACGTTTCTCGGACACGAAGCGTTTGTTGAATGACTGTCAATATGGATTTCGCCCTCGTCAATCTATGTGTGACCTACTGGCGCTCACGTCGCATTTTTGATCAACTGCACTCGATAGTCACGGAGAAATCCGCATAGTCTCGCTCGACATTTCAAAGACCTTCAAGGTCTGCTGTCGAAATTACCCACGTTCGGATTCCACCCGTCTTTTGCATCATGGTTCCAATGTTTCCTCAGCAAGCGAACCGTCTCCGTCCTACTCAATGGGGTCCTATTTCAGCCATCCCCTGTGGATTCCGGTGTTCCTCAAGGTTCAATAATTTCGCCCACTCTCTTTCTTCTATTTACCAACGATTTTTTGTCCAACATCTCTAGTTCCTTCCCATTGCCACACCATCAACTTGTCGATATAAGCTGCCATTAAAACAAAACTGCACATCTTTTGTACACAACAGCAGATTGGTGCACCACATCAAAAGTTAGCACGTTGGTTGGCAAAACTGATAGACCCAATCAGGCGCAAGTTTGCAGCACACAGTCTGAAGGACTCATTTGAATTTTCGGACCAAATGGTGACGCTAAATGTTTCCAAAAAACACATGGTATCGTATGACGTCTGCTCATTATTCACGAACGTCCCTCTTGAAGAAATGATAGAC